CGGGAGGCTGAGGCAGGAGACTCACTTGAACCCGGGAGGTGGAGGTCACAGTGAGTGGAGATCACGCCACTGCACTCCAGCCTGGGCAACAGAGCAAAACTCTGTCTCAAAACGAACAAAAAAAGTGGCCTTGTTGGGGTGCAGGGCACACAAGCATCACTCTTCACCCTCTTGTTTTATGGGACATTGGTGTCCCTCTGCAAGAGACAGAAGGTTCAAGGCATCCACACCTTTTCTCTCCCCATGGCAGGTGCCCATGGCTGCAATAATCCCTGTCCAATGGAGCCCTGGAAGCCAGTATGCAAGGGGTGCCACCCCTCCAGAGTGGGTGTGAACCTGCAGGTAAAATGAGTCCTGCAAAATGTGACAGGAAGGATCCCCCAAGCCGGGCTGTTACCTTCTATTGCATCCGCGCTGATAACATGATTGGCGATGGGTGTCGGGTCCACGTAGGCACCTCCCAGGGCAGGCCCCATGGCTGCCATACCGGCCACTATCTCGGGGACAAAGAGAGGGGTAAGCAGACAGGACACAGAGAAATGACTTTCAGGTCCACAGATACGACCCTGGAATAAACTACGTGAGCTTGTTTTTTCCTCTTTCTGAAGGTGATCGCCACTCTTGCATTTTTTTTTTTGGTTTGAGACAGGGTCTTGCTCTATTGCCCAGTCTGGAGTACAGCGGCATGATCACAGCTCACTGCAGCCTCCTGGGCTCACGTAATCCTCCCATCTATCTCCCAAGTAGCTGGGACTACAGCTGCGCCACCACGCCTGGCTAATTTTTAAATTTTTTTGTAGAGACAGGGTCTCCCTATGTTGCCCAGGCTGGTCTTGAACTCCTGGGCTCAAGCAATCCTCCTGCCTCAGCCTCCAAAAGTGCTGGGATCACAGGCGTGAGCCACCATGCCCGGCCCTTCTTTGCTTTTTTTACCCTCTTCCCCTTTCAAATATTTCCCACGGCTGCCTCCATTTTTCTGTTAGGTTTTCTTGGCTCAAGGCACAGTCATCCCAGCTGGGTGCAGTGGTGGCTCTGGCTCACGGTGGCTGGAGTCGAGAGCAGTGGCAAATGTGCTTTCCCAGCCTTTCTTCTAAGGGTCACTGTTGACCTTGGGATTTTGTGTGTCCCCTGGGCTCTGAGGCCAGCGTGCTTATGGCTGCTGTTTTTTCTCTCTCCTTTCCCTGTCAGGCCTAGTCTAGGAGAACAGCCTCGCCAGTGTTTCAGGAAAGCAGCCCTAAATTGCCAAAAATACGGACAGAAACGCAGACAGACACAAACAATTCTGAGCCCAGATCCCAGGTTGAAAATGCCATTTAACACCTCCAGGTGATTTTACTCAGTCAATGTGACTGACTTTCCTTCCTGAGAAACAGACACCAGTCACCCCTCTCCTCGGGGGGAGGGGTCGGTCAGGCTGATGTTCGGTGAAACCCCCAAATCAAAACAAATAGATCCAGTGAGAATTACGTCGCTTTTCTTTTCTTTTTTTTTTTTTTTGAGACAGTCTTACTCTGTCGCCCAGGCTGGAGTGTAATGGCACGATCTTGGCTCACTGCAACCTCCACCTCCTGGTTTCAAGCGATTCTTGTGCCTTGGCCCCCCGAGTAGCTGGGACTACAGATGTGCGCTGCCACACCCGGTTAATTTTTGTATTTTTAGAAGAGACGGGGTTTCACCACATTGGCCAGGCTGGGAATTACATCATTTTTCACATCCAGTCTACTTTGTCAAGAGCCATATGGATGAGAAAAGAGAGATTGAAAGGGAATGTTTATTAGCCAGGCACCTCTAGTCCCAGCTACTGGGGAGGCGGAGGTGGGAGAATTGCTGAAACCCAGGAGGGGGAGGAGGCTGTGGGCCAAGTGCGCACCACTGCGCTCCAGCCTGGGCAACAGAGCAAGGCCCCATCTCATAAAATAAAATAAAATAAATAAAATAATAACATGGGAATGTTTAAAAGAATGGGGCCTACCAGCAAGAGCCGAGACTGAAGCCGGGAATGAAAGAAATGCCTGAAGGCCAGGCATGGTGGCTCACGCCTGTAGCCTCAGCACTTTGCGGGGTCAACATGGGCAGGTGGAAGGATCACTTGACCCCAGGAGTTCAAGACCAGACTGGGGAACATAGGGAGACCCTGTCTCTACAAAAAACATTTTAAAATGATACAGGGGGCTGAGTGTGGTGGCTCACACCTGTAATCCCAGCACTTTGAGAGGCTGAGGCAGGCAGATCACGAGGTCAGGAACTCAAGACGAGCCTGACCAGCACGGTGAAACCCCATCTCTACTAAAAATATAAAAATTAACCGGGCACAGTGGCGCATACCTGTAATCCCAGCTATTCAGGAGGCTGAGGCAAGAGAATCGCTTGAACCCGGGAGGCGGAGGTTGCAGTGAGCCGAGATTGCACGACTGCATTCCAGCTTGGGCAAGAGAGCAAGACTCCATCTCAAAAAAAAAAAAAA